TTCGGCTGCGACTGAGGCGTACAAAGCAATAGAGCGCGTGGCGGACGTGCTTGGGCTACCGCTGGATCAAGTTGATGCGGTCTGCAACGCGGTCGAGGCCGCGACCGCCAGCGGCGTCGGCGCGCACCGCTTTGTGGGGATGTCCTACCGGCGGCTGCGGCGCGCGTGCCTGGCGGGGGACGCGGCGGCGGCGCGCGCGTGGATGGAGCGGACGGCGGCGGGCGGCGGCGCGGGCGGTGCGTGACGCTCTGAGCAAGCTTGCGTCACCCCGCGGCGGTTGCGTGGGGCGTCTTGGCCCTCCGCCCTTTTGGTAGTGCCCAGGCGCGTGGGCGTGCCATGATTGCTGATGTCAGTCATGTCAGCAGCGCCAGTGTGTATCCAGAATGCCCCGCCTCGCCGCGCGCCGCTATCGTCCGGCGGCGCGGCCGGGCGGCGTGTGCGCTAAAAGTTGGACTCTGTATGGACGGACGTGCCCTGGCGCCCTGGCTCCCTGTTTCCGTTTCTGTTGAGCAATGGCCATACCATATCCGCTGATTCGGCGCGCGGTACCCGCCTCCTCCTGTGGCCGCGCCGTGTTTTGCCGCGAGCGCCGGGACCAGCTCATGCGCCGTGCGCATGTGATGCTGTCGTTGCACGTCAGATTCCCTGAAAATCGTCAGCCGTGCGGCCGCCCCGAGAAAGCTGGCCTGCGCTCGCGGGCGGCACGCCTACAGCCGGACGCGGCGCGCTCTGCCGAGCCTCGTCTGGTGGCCGTGGCCGCTGATTAGCCGTGGCCCCGCCCCTGGGGGGGCCCCTGCCCAGTACATGAGTTTTATCGCGGGCGTGCTGCGTGCTCTTGCGCGTCCCTTTGGACAGATTTGTGTGGCTTCCGCCACCACCTTGCAGGCCTCCGCCGGCCGCCGCCCTCTGGGTGCCACCTGGCCCTGGGTTCGTTCACACCCCCAAGTATGTGCGCCTCCTGTGCCCTCTTCGTCCGACACTCAGGCGCGTGTCTTGTGCCACCCCAGGCCCCAGATACCCTTATTTCTGCAATCATACCCTCGTCTCAGACGGCCCTGGACCTGAACCCTGTGCACCCATCCCGCGCTCCTGCACGCCTCGCGGCGCCAGCCTCACCACCGCGGGGCCCTGGCCCCTAGCCCCCGTGTAACTCCCCTCATGACTCGCAGTGGGTTTAGACGGGGCCACATGGCGCTGCAGGTACAGTGCTTTTGACGGGGTGATTTGGCTCTCAAGCGGCTGCAGGGCGGTTGGCGCGGCATGAATGGACATAATCTTTCCAGCAGCCAGGCCTGTGACTCGCTGTTGCCTCGTGGTCTGTCGGCCTGTCGCAGCCTGGACTACCCTGGATCAAACAGAGCAAGGCCGGCCTGGCATGCAAATCAACTGGCGCGTGGTTCGGGCAATTCTGGTGTCTCACGTGTGGGAGGCCCAGGCGCAATCATCCAGCAACGTATGGATGCCGCAGAAGTGCAGTCCACGTAACGCCTCTTGAAGTGCTGCGCTTGGACCCAGAGATGTCAGGTGCTCAAGTGCGAGACAGACACCTGTTTGCGGCTGCTCAATAGACTGGCAACACAAGCGATAGCTTCCCGGATTGCTTTATATTCTACAAGGCAGTTGCCCAAACCGGCCGGCGTCACTGAGTTACGTCATCAACAGGCATCACATGCTCGTTTGGAACAGCGTGAATGGGCGCAGAGGATGGAGGGCCAATGTACGGGCATGCAGGGCCTTACAAAGTCGGTGGAGGCGGCTGAGTCAGGGACGGGCGGGTCGGGGGCGGTCTAGTTGGTGACGCAGCAAGCAGCGGCATGGCCAGGTGGGCTTTGCTGTATGGCTCAGCCAGTGCAAGCTGCATGTGTGGCGTACTATCCAGCAGCATGGTGTCTCTGGGCACACAGGGGAGAGCAGCGCATGGCGGCGAGCGTGTATGCGAGTTTGCGGACAACCGTTGCCCTCTTGCCCAGCAGGTGTTGCAAGTAGTGACAAGGAGTGACCCGGCTGACAAACAACAGATGTCTGCTTGTCTGTCACTTGGGATCATATCATGATGAATACGGCTACTAGATTGATCACAGGTGCTCTATCGTGTCCACGTGGTACAGTCCGCGCGCTGCCCGTGCTGCTCACGGCTATGAGATCCGGAGTCACCTCGCTGTCTGTCGCCCCACGATGCTGCTGAGCCAGCGCAGATGCCTTGTTTCGTCGTGCCAGCCTGCGACAGCAAAAGGCAGGAGCATCTGGTTGCGGACCACTGCCCGACGGACCGCTGCCCCTCGCCGCTGCGTCGCCACCTCCAATGGCGAGCCGGTCGGCGCCACTGCCGCCGAGCCAAGAGGCAGCTCCAGCAGCCAAGGATTGCGCGAGGCGCCACCTGGCCAGCCCGCAAGCCAGCCGCGGCGTGCAGGCACCAGCGACGCAGCGGACACTGGTGAAACAGCCGCAGCGGACTGCGAAGCACAGGGAGACGGGCTCAGCCCTGAGGACGTCCGCGCGCTCGCCGCTGAGCTGCAGGATCTTGGCGCCTCAGTGCGCGACAGCCTGCTGGCGCGTGGCCTGATAGGTGAACGTGGCGCCGCCGTGCTCGACGCCTACGCCGACTTCCAGCGGCGCGCCAACGCCTTCTTGGCCGACGGCTGCGCCGCGGTCGCCGCTGACGCCGGGGGCGCGCGCCCGGTTGGGGAAAGCGACGACGGCGGTGCGGCCCTCCGCTTGGTCGTGGAACTCAAGCAGGAGCTTGAAAAGGCAGGCCTGGCGTTGGTGGCGCCATCCTGCTCCACGACCCGCTGACCCTGTTCAGGGTGCAGGCAGGCAGCGGGAGCGCTCAGCTGCTGTCTTTGTCGCTGATAGCCGCGCTCGAAGGCCGCTTGCCGGCGCCGCACGAGGTGCCGGACGGCTTCTTGCCCGCAAAAGCCATCAGGTCGGTGGGTGGGGCGTTGGCGCGCGGGCTTGTCGGGCCTTGGACAAGGCGGCTGTTGTGGGTTGAGCCAGGACCAGGCTGTTTGTGTCTGACGGCCGACACTGTCAACCGCGTCAACATACACATCTGCACCCGTCAACAAGCTTGGCTTTTATGCAATGCACCACCCGCTCGTCATCCGCCGCGGTGCGCACTTTCGCAGGCATGCTTTCGTTTTTACGTCTCAACTCTCGCATGCTTGGTTGCTTGCTGCTTCTACTGAGGATGTGTCCCCCTTCGGCAGCCCGGCGCAGCAGCATGTCGCAACGGCTTGTGGATGGTCGGCAATGCAGCCAGGTCTGGCCCACCTGCTCTTCGTGAGTGAAGGTTCCGAGGCACAGGTGCGGCTGCCCCAGGCCTTGGCTGCGGAGGCCGTGGGGGCGGCAGCAATGCTGACCTGGCGCAAAGTGCTGTTGGACGTGGTGGACAATCGTGGCGGCGGCGGCAGTCGCGTCATGCGCACGGCTGGGTTGCAGCTTCGGCAGGTGCGCTGCAAGCCCAGGTGCCCTTTTTGTAGCTCTTGCTGCTTGCACGCCCATCACCGCTGGTTGCGGGCTGGTTTGGGCAGTCGAAGCCACTGGCCTCACCGACTGCTCCGTGACACTCTGACGGCTTGGATGTACTTTGATCCGTGTTTACTATCAAGACGAGCTTCCCTCGGCTGGAGGCCGTGACACAACCGTCTGGCGCACACGATCGCGCCCTCGTCTAGTCTAGGTGGCGGATGTGTTGGGGGACACGGCCCGGTCAACACCCATGCTGGTCAACATACAGCCGACTCTGGTGTGGGCTGCGGGGCAGGCCCTGAGCACCCTTCTAGCTTTGGATCTGACCTCTGTGGAGCCTGATGATATAGCGGTGCGTTTGGCTGGGTGCATGGGAATGCAGAATTGAACACCAGGAGCTTTTTCTGATATGTTGTCTGCTGTGCTTCCCCGTAAGGCGCCCTGTGTGCTTGACAATTGGGCATCAATGGGCCGCAGGAAATGGAACAACTGGCCGCGCTGATGGAGAGCTGTGACGGCTTGGTGGGGCAGCCAGACGACTGGCGCAACAAGGCGTCAATTGGGGCATCGTTCTCAGAAGAGACGTGCTCAATTGTTGCTTTCGATGCCCTATGCACGTTGTCTGAATTCCACCATCGGCGGGGCAATGTTGGCGCCGCGCTCACATCGGCAGGGCAAGCGCTGTACATCTGGTTTGCAGCCACCACAGTTGGCCTGGATGGCGACGGCATGCGGGTGAGCGGCGGAGATCTGTGTGAAATAGCAGCGCAGTCTGACGCAGTGGCGACTCTGAGTTCACACTGACAGGATCATACCGCATTACATGTTACTGAGCTGCTACTCGCTGCGCTTCACCAAATCAATCAACCCCTTTGCCCCGAGCAATCAATCCATCACACGCACTGGTGTCAATACTCTCGACACCCGTCCCAACACCCCTGCTGCGCGCTCCCTTCCTCCAGGAGGTGCACCAGAACAGCGCCTGCCGCCCCTTCTTCTTCATGTGGCGCGACATGATGCAGCTGGCGGGGGAGGGCCACGACCCCGAGCAGCTGCTCGGCGTCAGCCACGCCGTCTGGCTGAGCAGGTGTGTGCTGGTGTGCAATTGCTCTTGTTGGAGCACTGATAGCCTGGCAAGCAGGGTATTTTCTAATGCTCACCATTGCAAACACAATGAGTTCAAGGTCGCTGATCAACCCCTCCCTGACCTGATTATCTAACCACGCCAAAGCCTCCCAAAAATCTCTTTCCTCCCACCCAGGCGCTACCAGTGCCTGGTGCAGCGCTTCATGGTGCTGCAGCTCGAGGAGGCCGGTGCCGCGGCGCCCCAGGGCGGGGCGCTAGGGGAGGCCGCCTGGGCGGCCACACTGTCGGCGGTGGAGGCGCGCTCCTGGCGGCCGGTACTCCCTGGGGTGTGTGAGGGCTGCGGGGAGGTCTGGTGCGTCTTGCGTGCTGCAGCATGGTGCTTGCCGGCTGCGACCGTGTACGATATGCTCATATGTGTTTACAAGCTTCCTGCGCCAGCTGCCACTAGAATCCCACTCTGAGAGGTCCTGCAAGCTGCCACACGTTAGCTCGGCCACACCTGGTCGCGTGCGTGCAGATGCCGGCTGGTCTTGGCTCCCACCGGAGCTTCCCCTCGTCGTACTCAATCAGCAAGTTCCTTGGCGCACCAACGCCTGATGCGCGCATCATGGACTTCTACTACAAGTACTGCGGCGACACCGAAATCCCTGGCCCGGGGGAGGACCCCTGGTGAGGTCCTGCCCTCGTGCTGGTGGCTGCGGCTCTTTCGGGCGGTGGCAGCTTCGAAATGCAACGTCAGGCCGGCACCGCCCTCTGTCGGCCAAGACCGCGGCTGCCTTGCCGTGCGTGCGTGCGTGTGCAAATCCCTCCTGCAGGTGGCAGTACATTGCCGCTGAGGTGGACGTGCGGCAGTACAGCCGCGGCTGTCATGAAGCCCTAGCCGAGCGGCTGCTGCGACCCACACCCGCCTCCTCGCCCCTGACGGCTGACAAGGCCAGGTGCGTCGGTTGCCCCAACTCCCTCCTGAGCTGGGTTACGTGTGCATGCGCATGCGCACGACGACCTTTAGTAGCATCATGGAAGTCGACCGTCTGTGCGATACGCGCACCTTCCCAACGCTGTCGTCCCTCGTGCTCACAGATGGGTCTTGGAACCGCGGGCACGACTGCAAACACAAGTGCCCCTTTTCATGCATCACGTGCCGAAAACATTGTTGCGGCCGATGCGTTCGGAGCCTGGTGCGGACCCCCTGGGCGACGCGCTGACCAGTGGCGGACTGCGCGTGTTGGCGTGCATTTCGGTGTCCTTAACGACGCTGCCGTTCCTGCTCGGGGATCCCATCATAAAGGCGCGGTGCCTCTTCAGCACGAGTACTTTTGAGGCGTTCGCGATTTCTGCCCGCAGCAAAGGCTCCCGGGGCATGTCGTGGCTCGTCCACACCGCTGAGGCTGCGCTGCGCGAGGACGCGGCTGCTGCCGGCGGCCTCAGCGAGTGGGAGCGGCTGATGTTGCAGTCATTCTTATCGTTCGCCACCTGCTTTCAGTGTGTCACCCTGGACGAGTGCTTCATGTCTTTTGATGCCGCGTACGGGGCCGTCACCGCCGCTGCCGCACGCGGGCTCAAACCCGACGAGGCGCGAGCTGCGGGCTTTAGCGCATGCATGACCATCCTGGACATGGCAGCTGCCAACCTTGCAGTCCGCCATAAATCGGGGCGCTCGGATCTCTTGCTGCAGCACGGGCCGCTGTCGAGCAGTGTGCAATTCGAGCAACTGTACAAATCTATGTTGGATCCTGGCAAGGGCGGCGAGCTGTACAACATCTTGGTAAGCGGATGCATGCGCGCTTTGAGCCAGGGGCCAGTGTGCAATAAGGGCCTCTGCTAGGGCAGGCGAGAATGCATGTGCGTGAGTGCGTGCGTGCGTGTACGTCTGCGCGTGTGCGGCACGCATCACCCGCTGACTTATCTTGCGTGCTGGTGTAGCCAGCAATTTCACGAGCCTGTTCATTTTGCATGGCTGTTTCGGCGCCTGCTGGGTCCAAAGGTTGCTCTCCTCGGGCCACAGCTTTCGTGTCCTCATCCAACGTGAGCGCTCGACCCCTCTCATGCAGGCCCTCCTCAGGCGTCCACCCAGCGCGCCCGTAACCGACGCCGACCCCATCCGCCGCGCCGGCCTCCTGCCGCGCCTGCGGGCGACCGCGTCTTCGGCTTGGATTGCAAAGCTCAGCGACGATGGCGACTCTCATGGGCTCACGCACCTTGCCTTGGCGCTTGGTGGCGGCACTGCTGCCGCCGCAGGTGAGGGCGGGGCCAGCGAAGGGGGCAGGCGCCCTTTGCCGCCGCCTTCAGATCGGCGGCTGCTTTCAGAGGCCATGTCGCAGCTGTGCGAACTGTCGGACGGGCTTGACGGCGCGCTTGAGTGCCTGTGCATGCTGCCAGGGCCGCTGCCGCCAGCGGCCGTAGCGGCGGTGCTTCGTCGCGCGTGGCAGGAAGAGGACGCACCCAGCGTGTGGAGTGCCTGCAAATCGGTCAATGCCTGGAGAAATGCGGCGGCCTCTGCCCAGGCGGCGGCCACCCTGGACGAGCTTTTCCTGAAGTGGGTTGAGCAGCAGGAGCAGCAGCAGAATCAGCAACACTACCACCACCAGCAGCAGCAGGAGCAGCAGCAGCAGCAGCAGCGGTGGCGGTGTGGCTACATTAGCATGGTCAAGGGCCTTGCAGCATCGTATGCATTGCTTCGCGCTGCACCGAGTCAAGCCGTGGCTGGGGTGCTGTTGCGTTTGCCAGTGTCAGGGCTGCAGCTGGCCTTGGCGCTGCGTCAGGTGTGCGGCGACCGCACCGCCGCCGGGCCCGTGGCGGAGTCGCTGATTGGCGCGGCCTGCGCTGCAGACAGGCTCGCGGTGGCCATGCTGCTGCTGCGGGTGGCATGGAGCAATGGCACGCTCGGGCCCACAACCTGCGGCCGCGCTGTGGGCGCCCTGGCTTGCCGCGCGGCGATGCTGCCGGACGCCCAGGTGCGGGCGCGCTTTGCCCTCGGCTTGCTGCAGCTGGCGCGGGACGGCACGCTGCCCCCCGGCTTTACAGGTCGCGCGAGCGCCGTGGCGGAGGAGCGCCTGCAGCGCAGGCGCCTGCTGCCGGGCGCGCCGGTGGCGCTTCCTCATGCAGCAGCGGCTGAGCTGCTGCGGCTGGTGGCGGAGGACAATTCGACCGCTGCCGCCGATGTGGTGGCTGCATTTGAGTTTGTCACCAGCACCCCAGGCGGCGGCCTGTCCCTCAGCGCAATAGGGACCGCCAGCTTGAGCGCCGTGGTGGCGGCATTCGCGGCTCAAGGCAAGCACGAAGCTGCATGGCAGCTGGTGCAGCAGGCCGGCGGCAGCAGCAGCACAGGAGCGGCAGCAGGGGATGGCGCAAGCTCCAGCCTGCTGGCCCAGCTTGTTGCGGTGTGGGAGTCGCTGCCCACACATTGCTTGCCCGCCCCAGTGCTGCGCGCTGCGGCTGACGCGGTGGCGACGGCGGGCTCGGCCCCGCTGGCAGGGCGCTTGCTGGGCCTGCTGGCTGCGGCGGAGGGCTCCAGCTTGGCAGCAGCAGCACTCAGCTTGAGCGATGCGGCCCTGATGGCGCACCTGCTCACGCAGCTAGATGCAGGCGCCAGGTCAGCGGCGGCACTGGGGGCGGCTGCAGACTTGGCAGAGGCGATTGTCGAGGCGGACCGGCAGCTGCCACAGGGTACGTGGGCGCGAGTCCTCGCGCTTTGCAGTGGCGGCTCCGCAGCCGGCGCACGGCTGGCGCTTCTTGCTCATGATCAGCTGCTTTCAGAGGCGGCCGCCGCAATTGAAGCAGCAGAGCGCAGCAGTGGCAGCAATGAGAGTGGTGCGGCGGCGGGCCAGCCGCTCGCCGACGCGCTACTGGCTGCACTCGCGTCGCCACTGGTGTCAGGAGAGTCCGGGTGTGCCGACGGCGCCTCCGCAGCGGCGGCTGCGGCGGCGGCAGAGGCGGAGCCGCAAGAACAGCAGCAGCTGACGGCAGGCTGGGCGGCAGCGGCGCAGCGCGCAGACAACTTGAGGGCGCAGCTTGCTGCACTCTGCGCCGAGGCAGCCGAGGGGTCGCCGGGGCATTGGCTGCGGTTTCCTTCAGGCTGCGGGCGGCAGGACGAGGCGGCGGCGAGGCGGCTGGCAGTGCTGCTGTGCGCGTCATCAGGGCTGGCGGGGGCGGCGGTTCAAATGTACCAGGAGTTCCGGCAGGCGGGCGGTCAGCCTGAGCTGGAGGGGGGCCTGCTGGAGGCGGCGCTGGCGGCGGCGCATGATGCGGGGCCAGAGCTGGCGACAGGGTCTGCCGGTGGGTTTGCCAGCAGGCACTGTCATCTGTCAGCTGGGGTGGTGCATCCACCTGTTGTCACCTGGAGGCAACAAGATCCAAGTTGATGGTGGCTGACATGTGCTCGTTGACTACTGCTGAGCGTCTTCAGTTGTGATCATCTCAACATGACTCATTGATTGCCAACATCCCTCACCCATACCCCCGACCCATCCGCTCCCCTTCAACAACCCGCAGCTCCTACGGCTATCCTGCGCACCGCCCAGTCGCTCTGCCCACCCGGCACCACCTGGGTGCCCGGCGCCCCCATCGCATGGCGCGCATTCTTTGCCACACTCACCAGCAGCGAAGCCAACAGCGCCAACGGCGGCGAGCGCGAGGCGGCCGCGGCGGCAGTGGGGGCGGTGGAGGCACTGCTGCTTGACAGCGACGCCCTGTGGTCAGCGGGTGGCCAGGTGGCCGCCCTGCCTTCAGAGGCGGTCGCAGAGGGCCTGCGCGCGCTCGTGCCGTGGGCGCCCAGCGCGCCAGTGGGCGCCGCGGCCGCAGCGCGGCGGCTGCTGACCACGTGTGAGCTGCGTGGCGGGCAGCAGCAGCAGCAGCGTCAGGCCCCCTTGCCTGCCCAGCGCAGCGGCTCGCCAGGCGGCAGCAGTAAGCGCAGGGGTGCCGCTGCTGGATCGCACTCGTCCCGTTCGGCAGGCATTGCCACCCTGCGGCCTGGTCTGCCTGCGGCTGATGCCGGCATCTACTTGGCAGCTGCCGCCGTGCTGGCCGCGACTGGTGACGCGGCGGGAGCTGTCAAGCTGCTAGCGCCGCTCATCTCTGGTACGAATGAGCAGGCGTTTGCAGCTGCATGCGGCAGCAGTTGCGACTCTTCCATCGCTCAGCAGCAGCAGCAGCAGCAGCAGCAGCAGCAGGTTGCCGCTGAGTTGCTGCGCCTGCTGCCCCCAGGCCGCCGCGCTGCGGCCGCGGCGCCGGTCCTGCGCCTGCTGGCTGCGGGGGGCGTGGGTGCGGTGACGTCACCTGCCCTGGTGGAGGCGCTGACTGGGGAGGACCTGGTGAGATGAGGGCGCTGCCGGGGCGCGGGGCTGTCAAACACACGGCACCTGACAGCATTTGCGGTGGCAACGCGACTTCGTTTGCGCGTCATAGCGGGCTGTTCTTCCCTGTCTTGTGCTCACCTTCCCAAGTATCCAGTCACGTGAAGGCATGCAGCAGTACATTCGCCCTTCCAAACAATTGTCTCGCCACCGTTTCTACCTTCAATCCCCCAGGATGCTGCAGCCGAGGCTGACCTGGCAGAGGCGTTTGGGGGCGTCTTCGTGGAGGCATTGATGGTGGCCGCGTTTGAGGGCCTGCCCGCGCTGGGCGGTGGCGACAATGGCTCTGCGCAGGACGGTGATGCGGCGGCCAGCCTGGCGCTGCGGGCTGGCCCAGGGGCGGCGGGCGGAGACGAGGGCAGCAGCCGCGATGCGGCTCTGCGCGACTTGCTGCGTGTCATTGATTAACTGGATTTCACCAATGCGCAGGTTGCAGTTGTGGTGCCAAGTAGAGCTGGATGTCCAGCAGTCAACTAAACTCTGCTTGCAGTGCACACGTCTACGTAGGCCGTGTCTGCCTTGCCCACGAGCCTCTGCACAGCAGGCCTATGTGTGTTGCAGCCGAACCATTTGTCCCGTGCCTTGCTCAATTGCCCTTGCTAGATGGCTGGGGCGCACGTGGGGGACTTTCGCGGGCGCCGTGTGTGCTGAACGTGCGCCGGCTGCTTGGCACACCACGCACCGATCGCATGGCCTGGGAAGATTATTGGGTTTGCAGCGCACGCTGAGGGGTTGTGTTGTGGGCCCTTGCGCTTTTACAGAGGGTGGGACATATTGACGTTTATCAGACATCCCTGAACATTTGGTGTCTCTGAGATTCAATACATCGGGGTTAGATGGATGCGCAGACAGGTCCTGCAGGATGGCGTTTCTGAACCCCTGCCACTGCATGCGCAGCTGCCGCCGAGCTGCGCACGTTGCTGGCGCCAAGAGGATAGCACAGCAGGCACCTGGGTCTAATGGTGCTGCTGCTATAGTTAGTTTTGAGCATCATGATTGAGCACTGCAGATTTGTAAGCCTGATGGGTAGAGCACTCCTGGACCCCTGCATAGGGGTGTCAAATGGTATTGACAAATGCTGTCATGATGCTACTGCAGTCCCGCTCAGCGCATGTAGGCAGGGAAACGTGTGCAGCAGACAATGCGGTGGTGTGTCCTGCTTGCTTACAACAGGCGGCGGCCACGTGTGTGTCGATGACACGTTGCTGCATGCGTCAGCACAGACGCAGTACTGGCCGCAAATGAAATGAATCCAGCCATGCATTTGGCAGCAGTGCCAGAGGCGGTCGAGGGAGGCGGTCGATTCGGGGGCGGTCTAGGCGGGAACACAGCAGGGAGCGGCACGGCCAGGTGGGCGTTGCCGCGTGGCTGTGTGGCGTGCTATGTAGCAGCGTGGTGTCTTTGGTAACAGAAGGAGGCCCTATCGCATGTTATCTTTGGTATCAGAGGGATTTTGTATCGCATGGCGGTGAGTGTGTATGCAAATGCATGGACAACTGTGTTGCCCAGCAAGTGTCGTGCTTGGTGACGAGGAGTGACCAGCTGACACACACACACAACAGATGCCTGTTTGCCTGTCACTGTGAACCATATGATTATCACAAAACGACTCAAACGATTGCAGTTGTAGTATCGTGTCCACGTGGTACAGTCTGCGCGATTCCCGTGCGAAGCACGGCTTTGAGATCCAGAGTCATCTCGCTGTCTGCCGCCCCACTATGCTGCTGAGCCAGCGCAGGTGCCTTGGTTCGTCATGCCAGCCTGTATCAGCAAAAGGCAGGAGCATCTGGTTGCGGACCGCCGCACGACGAACCGCTGCCCCTCGCCGCTGCGCCGCCACCAACAATGGCGAGCCGGTCGGCGCCACTGCCGCCGAGCCAAGCGGCGGCTCCAGCAGCCTAGGATCGCGCGAGGCGCCACCTGGGCAGCCCGCGAGCCAGCCACTGCATGCAGGCACCAGCGACGCTTCCGAGGCTGCTGAAACAGCCGCAGCGGACTGCAAAGCGCCGGTAGAGGAGATGGGCCCTGAGGGCTGCCGCGCACTCGCCGCCGACCTGCAAGATCGCAGCAGCACCCTGCGTGAAACCCTGCTGTCCCGCGGCCTGATCAGCGGCCGCGGCGCCGCCGTGCTCGACGCCTACTCCGACGTGCAGCGGCGCGCCAACGCCTTCTTGGCCGACGGCTGCGACGCCGTGCCCGCTGCCGCCAGCGGCGCAGGCCCGGACGGGGGCAGGGGCGGTTGCGGCAAGGGAAGCGATAATGGCGACGCGGCCTACCGCTTTGTTGCTGCATTTTTCGAGGACCTCAATGCCAGCCTAAAAGTAAGCAGCATCGGTTCCGCCGTCCTGCTGCGCGACCCGCTGACGCTATTTGAGGTGCAGACAGGCGACGGGAGCGCTCAACTGCTGTCCTTGTCGCTGGCAGCCGCGCTCCAAGGCCGGCTGCCGGCGCCGCATGAGGTGCCGGACTGCTTCCTTCCCGCTGAAGGCATCAGGTTGGTGGGCGGGGCGCCAGTTCATGGGCTGCCGGGCATTGGGAAGGCAGGTGTCGTGGGTCGAACCAGAGCCAGACGATCTGTGTCTGATGGCTGAAGCCCGTTGACAAGCTTGATGTTACAACACTGCACCACCCGCTTTTCGCCCCGCCGCATTGTGTGCTTGCGCATTCACGCACTGGTGTTTACATCCCGGCTCACACATGCTTTGGGGCAGAGAGTGAATCGCCATTTGGCAGCGCGCCACAGCAGCACATTGCAAGGGCTTGTGAATGGTCGGCAGTGCAGCCAGGCCTGGCTCACCTGCTCACCGTGAGTGCAGGGTCTGAGGCGCAGGCGCGGCTGCCACAATCACTGGCTGCGGAGGCCGTGGGGGCGGCGGCGGCGCTGACCTGGTGCAAAGTGCTGCTCGGCATGGTGGGCGACGGTGGCGGAAGCGGCAGTTGCGTCACGCACATGGCTGAGGGTCAGCTGCGGCAGGTGCGCTGCAAACCCAGGTGCCCTCGGTTCCTTGCCCGCGTCGCGCGTGCCCCCATCGTCGCTGGTTGCAGGCTGAATTGGCTGTCGAAGCCGCTGGCTTGCCTCACCCACTGTTTTATGTACACATACACGTATGCCCTAACTGCCTGGAATGTACTTTGTTTGGCAAGAGTCATCCAAACATGGCCTGCTTCCTTCGGCGGGAGGCCTTCCCACAACCGTCTGATGCACACGACCGCGCCCTCGTTTGATTCAGGTGGCAGACGTGTTGGGTCGCGTGGCCAGGTCAACACCCATGCTCACAAAAAATGCGCCGACTCTGTTGTGGGCTGCGGGGCAGGCCTTGAGCACCCTTCTTGCTTTGGATATGTCCTCCGTGGAACCTGATGATGAAGTGGTGCGTGTCGCTGGCTGCATGGGGATGCGGAAACGATGAGAGCGGTGCCAACCCGCTCTGGGGTGTTGTCTGCTGCGATTCCTTGATTGCCACAGCAAGGCGCTCTGTGTTCTCGACGAACCCGCCTTGATGGCCCGCAGGCTATGGAAGAACTCGCCGCGCTGATGGAGAGCTGTGCCGGCTTGGTGGGGCAGCCAGGCGACTGGCGCAAACAGGAACTGTTGGGGCCGACATACTCAGAAGAGACATGCTCGCTTGTTGCCTTTGATGCCCTCTGCACCCTGGCGGAATTCTACCACCGGCGGGTGGATGTCAATGCTGCGCTTGGATGGGCGCGGCGGGCGCTTTACCATTGGTTCGTAGCCACCAGAGTTGGCTGGAATGGCGATGGCTTACGGGTGAGCTGCTGAGATCTGCCTGCAGCATGCAGCACGGTCTGAAAGTGGTGACCCTGGGGGTGACGCTGACGTCTTGCTGCGCTGCACATCAATCACTTCACTGCAGGCAGACCCACAATGCAATGGTGTTGGCAACGCTTGCGACACCCGCCCCAACACCTCTGCTGCACACTCTAATTCTCCAGGAGGTGCACCAGAACAGCGCCTGCCGCCCCTTCTTCTTCATGTGGCGCGACATGCTGCAGCTGGCAGGGGAGGGCCACGACCCCGAGCAGCTGCTGGGCGTCAGCCACGCCGTGTGGCTGAGCAGGTGTGCGCTGATGTGTCAACACTCTTGATGGAGCATCAATCATGCAGGAAGCAGAATTTCAATTTGCACTCTTGACTGCGAATTCCACCAGCCCAAGATGCACTGACACCCCTTTCTGCTCTGCTTTTTCAAACAAGCTGACTCATGATCATCGTATCTTTGTCGCTCTATTGCCCAAGCGCTACCAGTGCCTGGTGCAGCGCTTCATGGTGCTGCAGCTCGAGGAGGCAGGCGCAGCGGCGCCCCAGGGCGGGGCGCTGGGGGAGGCGGCCTGGGCGGCCACGCTGTCGGCGGTGGAGGCGCGCTCCTGGAGGCCGTCGCTGCCTGGGGTGCGTCAAGGGCTGCGGGGAGGTCTGATGTGCCTCCAAGTGGAGTGGTTGTGCGATTGCGTACCATACATTCACATGTGTTTACAAGGTTTCTGTGCCAGCTGCCATGTAATAGCCCCTCTGAACATGCTTGCAAGCCCACAAGCTTTCCTGCAAGCTGCCACGCGCTGGCTCGGTCCCACCTGCCCGCGACGTGCAGGAGCCTGCAGGTCTGGGGTCCTTCCAGAGCTTTCCTTCCTCGCACTCTGTAAGCAAGTTCCTCGGCATACCGGCGTCAGATGGCCGCCTGATGGACTTTTACTACATATACTGTGGCGACACCAAAACCCTTGGGCCGGGGGAGGACCCCTGGTGAGGTGCTGCCATCGTGCTCTTATTGGCTGCGCAGCTGTTGGGCCGGTGGCAGCTTTGTATTGCGACATCAAGCCGGCACTGCCTTGTGCCCGCCACCGTGGCTGCCTTGCCATGCGTGCGTACGCATGCAAACCCATTCCCCAGGTGGCAGTATGTTGCCGCTGAAGTGGACGTGCGGCAGTACAGCGGTGGCTGTCATGAAGCCCTGGCTGAGCGGCTGCTTCGACCCACGCCCAACTCGTCACCCCTGCCAGCCGACAAGGCCAGGTGCGTCAGTTGCCTCACTTCACTTTGGAGTTGGTTCACATGTGCATGCGCATGCAACCGACGTGTGCATGCATCAATGCCGTCGCCCCGCTGTGCGACACCCACGCCTTCGTAATGCTGGTGTCCGTTGCGCTCGCAGATGGGTCCTGGAGCCGCGCGCACGGCTGCAAGCACAGGTGCCCCAGTTCATGCATCACGCGCAGAAATCGTTGCTACGGCCCACGCGCTCCGTGCCTGATGCCGACCCGCTAGGCAGCGCGCTGACCAGTGGTGGATTGCGCGTGTTGCCGTGCATAGGGCTGGCTATGTCGACGCTGCCTTTCCTAATAGGGCATCCGATCATTAAGGCGCGTTGCCTCATCGACACGGGTGTGTTTGAGGCATACACAGTCTTCGCCGGCAGTCAAGGCGCCCAGGGCATAGCATTGCTCGTCCACGCCGCTGAGGCTGCGCTGCGTGTGGACCCGGCCGCTGGCGGCCTTAGCGAGTGGGAGCGGCTCGTACTGCAGTGCTTCTTGTCGTTCACCACCTGCTTGCTGTGTATAGCCCTGGACGAGAGCCTTGAAGCGTTTGATGCCGCTCACAGAGCGGTCACCGCCGCTGCCGCGCGTGGGCTGAAGTCCGATGAGGCGCACGCTGCGGGCTTCAGTGCGTGCATGGGAATCCTGGACGTGGCAGCTGCCATCCTTGCAGAGCATCATATCTTGCTGCAGCACGGGCCGCTTTCCAGCAGTGTGCAATCTGGGCACGTGTACACTTCCATGTTGGAGCGGGGCAAGGGCGGCGAGCTGCGCAACATCTTGGTGAGAGGTGCCGTGCGCTTTGAGCTGAGGCCCAGCGTGCAACAAGGGCCTCTGCTGGGGTGCAGGCAAGCGTACGCGCCCGTGCCTGTGCACGCGTGCATGCTACGTAACAGTGTGTGTGTGTGTGTGTGTGTGTGTGTGTNGTGTGTGTGTGTGTGTGTGTGTGTGTGTGTGTGTGTGTGCGCGTGTGGATCTCTCTCTCTCTCTCTCTCTCTCTCTCTTTCTCTCTCTCTCTCTCTCTTTCTCTCTCTCCGCGCGCGCGCACACACACACACACACACACACACACACACACACACACACACACACAGACACACACACATGTGCNGTGTGTGCGGGCGTGCGTGCACGTGCGTACATGTGCGCATCGCCCGTTGACTTGTCACGCGTGCTGGCCAAAGCCAGGATTTCCACGAGCCTGTCTGTTTCGCATGGCTGTGTTGGCGCATGCTGGGTGCAAAGGGTGCTCTCCTTGCGCCACAGCCTTCGTGTCCTCATCCAACGTAAGCGCCCGACCCCTCTCATTCAGGCCCTCCTCAGGCGCCCACCCAGCGCACCCGTCACCGGCGCCGACCCCGCCCGCCGCGCCGCCCTCGTGCCGCGCCTGCGGGTGGCCGCGTCTTTGGCTTGGATTGCAAAGCTCAGCGACGATGGCGACTCAGTCGGGCTCACACTCCTTGCCATGACGCTTGGCGGCGGGGCTGCTGCTGCTGCCGCCTCAGCTGAGGCTAGTGTCCCCGAAGAGGGCAGGCGCCCCGTGCCGCCGTCTGCAGAGCGGCAGCTGCTGTCAGAGGCAGTGACGCGGCTGTGCGCACTGTCAGATGGGCTTGATGGTGCGCTTCACTGCATGCGCGTGCTGCCAGGGCCGCTGCCGCCAGCGGTAGTGGCGGCGGTGCTGTGGCGCGCGTGGGAAGATGGGGACCCACCCAGCGTGTGGAGTGCCTGCAGTTCAGTCAATGCCTGGGGGGATGCAAAGGCCTCTGCCCAGGCGGCGGCCACCCTAGACGAGCTGTTTTTGGGGTGGGTTAAGCAGCAGCGACAACAGCAGCAGGAGCAGGAGCAGGAGCAGGAGCAGGAGCGGGAGCAGGAGCAGGAGCGGGAGCGGGAGCGGGAGCAGGAGCGGGAGCGGGAGCGGGAGCGGGAGCGGGAGCGGGAGCGGGAGCGGGAGCGGGAGCGGGAGCGGGAGCGGGAGCGGGAGCGGGAGCGGGAGCGGGAGCGGGAGCGGGAGCGGCCGCTGCCGGGCGCGCCGGTGGCGCTTCCTCATGCGGCGGCGGCGGCGCTGCTGCAGCTGGTGGGTGAGGACAACTCAACCATTGCCGCCGATGTGGTGGCTGCGTTCGAGTTTGTAACCAGCACCCCAGGCGGCGGCCTGCCTCTCAGTGCGATAGGTGCTGGCAGCTTGAGGGCTGTGGTGGCGGCATTCGCAGCGCAAGGCAAGCACAGGGCTGCATGGCAGCTGGTGCAGCAGGCCGGCGGCAGCGGCACAGGAGGGGCTGCAGGCGATGGTGAAGGCGCCAGCATACTGGCCCAGCTTGTTGGGGTGTGGGAGGCGCTGCCCACACAGTGCTTGCCGGCCCCTGTGCTGCGCGACGCGGCTGACGCGGCGGCGACAATGGGCTCGGCCCCGCTGGCACGGCGCTTGCTGGGCCTGCTGGCTGCGGCAGAGGGGACCAGCTTGGCGGCAGCAGCACTGAGCTTGAGCGACGCGGCACTGATGGCGCACCTGCTCTCGCAACTGGACGCGGGCGCCAGGTCAGCGGCGGCGCTGGGGGCGGCTGCAGACTTGGCAGAGGCGATTATTGAGGCGGGCCGGCAGCTGCCACCCGGCACGTGGGCGCAAGTCCTTGCGCTTTGCGGTGGCGCCTCCGCAGCCGGCGCACGTCTGGCGCTTCTGGCTCATGATCAGCTGCTTGCAGAGGCGGCCGCCGCGCTGGAGGCAGCAGAGCGCTGCGGTGGCAGCAACGAGAGCAGTGCGCCGGCGGGCCAGCCGCTCGCTGAAGCCCTGCTGGCCGCGCTGGCGTCGCCGCTGCTGTGTGGAACGGATGATGTTGCCAAGCGCAGCAACGCAGGGGCCATTGAGGCAGCAGCAGAGGCGGGGCCGCGGGACCAGCAGCGCCTCGCGGCGGGCTGGGCGGCTGCGGCGCAGCGAGCCGCCGATTTGAAGGTGCGGCTTGCGTCCGCCTGCGCTGAGGCCGCTGAAGCGTCGCCAGGTCACTGCCTGCAGTTCCCCCCTGGCTGCGGGCGGCAGGACGAGGCTGCGGCGCGGCGGCTGGCAGTGCTGCTGTGCGCGTCGGCGCGGCTGTCGGGGGCGGCAGTTCAAATGTACCAGGAGTTTCGGCAGGCGGGCGGGCAGCCTGAGCTGGAGGGAGGCCTGCTGGAGGCGGCGCTGGCGGCGGCACATGATGCGGGGGCTGAGGTGGCAACAGGGTCGGCAGGTGGGTTTGTCAGCATGCGCTGTCGGCTGTGGGCTGCATTGGTGCATCCCCCGATTGTCACTTTGAGATGACACGAGGCAGATTCATTGTGGCTGACATGTGCTCTGTGAACACTGCTCAGTGTCTTGAGTTGTCACGATTGCAACATGATGCCGAAACCCCACACCCACACTTCCGACCCATCAGCTTCCCTTTCGCAACGCGCAGCTCCTGCAGCCATCCTGCGCACGGCCCAGTCCCTCTGCCCCCACGGCACCACCTGGGTGCCAGGCGCCCCGATCGCATGGCGTGCATTGTTTGCCACACTCACCAGCAGCGCCGCAAATGGCGTCAACGACGGCGAGCGTCAGGCGGCCGCGGCGGCAGTGGGGGCGGTGGAGGCACTGCTGCTTGACAGCGACGCCCTGTGGTCAGCGGGGGGCCAGGTGGCCGCCCTGCCTTCAGAGGCGGTCGCAGAGGGCCTGCGCGCGCTCGTGCCATGGGCGCCCAGCGCGCCAGTGGGCGCGGGGGCCGCTGCACGGCGGCTACTGACCACATGCGAGCTGAGGGCCGGGCAGCAGCAGCAGCCTCAGGCGCCCTCACCTGCCCAGCGCGGCGGCTCGCCAGGCGGCAGCGGCAAGCGCAGGGGCGCCGCTGCTGGGTCGCACTCGTCCCGTGCGGCAGGCATTGCCGCCCTGCGGCCTGCCCTGCCCAGCGCTGCTGCCGGTATCTACTCGGCAGCTGCCGCCGTGCTGGCCGCGACTGGTGAAACAGCAGGAGCTGTCAAGCTGCTCGCACCGCTCATCTCTGGTGCCAAGCAGGAGGCGTTCGCAGCTAAATTTGGCGGGAGTAGCGGCTCTTCAATCTCCCAGCAGCAGCAGCAGCAGCAGCAGCAGCAGCAGCAGCAGCAGCAGCAGCAGCAGCAGCAGCAGCAGCAGCAGCAGCAGGTGGCCGCTGAGCTGCTATGCCTACTGCCTCCAGGCCGCCGCTCTGCGGCCGCGGCGCCGGTCCTGCGGCTGCTGGCTGCGGGGGGCGTGGGGGCGGTGACGTCACCTGCCCTGGTGGAGGCGCTGACTGCGGAGGACCTGGTGAGATGAGGGCGCCGCTTGGATACGGGACTCTTCAACACGTGCCATCCAAGGGTAGCCAACGGCAACTGACTTTGCGTACATGTGATGGCCTGGAGATGTTTCTCTTCCGTGCTCACCTTCCCAACCATCCTGCCAGCTCAATGCATGAGGCAGTTTACAAGTACCCCCTACTAAAGATTTGCTCCACCACTGTCCCCGCGCCCAAACCCCCAGGATGCTGCAGCAGAGGCTGACCTGGCAGAGGCGTTCGGGGACGCCTTCGTGGAGGATCTGATGGTGGCAGCGTTTGAGGGCCTGCCCGTGCTGGGCGGTGGCGGTGGGGGGGCTTTGGAGGAGGACGGAGCGGCGGGCGGCCTGGCGCTGCGGGCTGGCCCTTGGGCGGCAGGCGGCGAGGAGAGCAGCAGCCGCGATGCGGCTTTGCAGCATTTGCTACGCGCCGTTGGGTAAGTTGATACCACGGATGCACAGGTCGTTGGAGTGCCAACTAAAGCTGGATGTCAGGCAATCAATCAATGGGATTCACTTCAGCGCCGACCCGTTTTTTTACGCACGTCTAGGGCACGGCTGCCTTGCCCTACAGGTTCCGCACGGCAGGCCTATGTGAGTTGCAGCCACATCACTGCCGCAGTTGCCTCTTCTGCCTTCCCCCCATGCGCCCTGGCCATCCTCCCGTTGCTGGATGGCCGGGGCGCATGCGGGGAACATTGCGGGCGCCGTGTGTGCTGGACGTGCGCCAGCTGGGTCGGCAGGCCACGCACTGCAAGGCCTGGTAGGGCTTTTGGGTTGGCAGCACGCGCTGAGGCGTTATGTTGCGGGGCCTCGTGCAGTTCCAGGGGGCAAGCCATCCCTGCAGATCAGTCCGTTGGTTGAAGTTACCTGTGAAGTGGGTGTGTCTCAATGATTGTAGGGACAGACAGGGCCTGTGGAACGGCGTGATGCAACCCCTGCCGCCACTGCACACGCAGCTGCCGCCAGGCTTCGCGTGTTGCTGGCGCCAAAGGATCAGCACAACAGACGCTGAGTATGTGATGTTGTTGCTGTTGCGGTCTTGAGCCGACGGCGCTGAGTGCTGCGGGTTTGTCGACTGTTATTTTGTGGATCCCGGCATTCCGGCAATGGCAAGTCAAAAGGTGGTTGACAGAAGGGGGGGTGGCGCCATGATACTGGTGCGATTGTGCTCAGTGCATGCAGGCGGGGGAACCTTTACAGCCCACTACGGGGACAGGTGTGATCTTGCTCGCCTTCAGCAGGCGCCGGCTGCGCGAGTTTCGCAGCGGGCATGCAGAACACATAGTGTGCTGGCCACGGGGCCTGAAACCTTACCAATGCACACATGCACCCAAGTAACTCATGAGAGTTTTGATCCATTGTACAACACTGCATCATCATTGCATCCGTCACCTCCCCAGCTGCGGTACAGTACTGTACTCAGGGTCTGCAGCGATACGTAACATACAGCTCGATTGCCCACTTCAAGATCTATGCATTCCGCTACACGTGTTGTAAATCTCAATCCCACTCATAACACCACTTTGTGGCACACCGACGCAACCGGGCAGGTTGACTCTTTCTGACCGCATTCAGTGGCATGTAGGGGTCCGGGGGCAAGTGGAGATCACCCATTTGAATACACAGATGGATACCACGTCCAACGGCCCAGGCCTACTTGCGAGTGGCACCGGCGAGGCCAGCACCACCAGCGAAACGCACAGTTCTGCAGCTGTGAGACGGATTTCGCGACTCAACCCCAATGCACATGTATATACGCGCGCATCAGCGGCCGGGCCTGCCATCGCCGGGCCGCTCGTCGCTGCAGCAGCAGCTGCAGCAGCGCTCGCTCCTCTGGCGCAAGCCCATCCCGCAGCAGCGGCGCCGCCCCGGGCCTGCGGCACTGCGGCATGCGTCGACGGCGGCCTACAGTCACTTGTGAGCAGCAGCAGTGGCACCTCTGGGGCCACGGCCGGCCCGGGCAGCAGTGGCAGTTTCGGCAGTGCTGGCCCGCCGGGGAGCCCCAACGGTTCCCTCCATTCGCCGGGCCGCCGCCGACACGTGCGCGCCCGCCGCGCGCCCAGCCCCAGCCCCGCACCGCCGTCACCCGCGGCTCCTGGGCAGGGCCGACACCAGCACGCACAGCAGCCGTGGCAGCAGGGGCGCGTGCGCGTGCCGTCCACGCCGTGGGAGCACTCGCCTGATGGATCCCCGATGCGCCGGCCGGGCCCCGCCATCGGCGCCGCCGCCGCAGCCGCAGCCGCCGCGCACCAGCACCACCCCGGTTTCTTCTGGGGCGCCGCCACCTCGCCGCGCCTCAGCGTCAGCAGCTTCAACGGCAGCAGCGCGGCAGCTTCCCCCACACGGGGCCCAAGGGTGCCTTACAGCCCCGCGGCGGCCGGCTCGGCGCCCGGGATAGTGGCAACGGGGCCTACGCCCCCGCTCTGGCCGCTCGACGGCGGCGCGGGCTCCGCAGGCAGCGGGAACGCAGGCGGCCCCGCCGCGAGTGCGGCACCGGCG